AATTTGTTAGTTTTGAAAATTAATTCTTATATGTAGGTTTTGTGTACTATTCCCTTGTATTATTCTAGCTTTCCTATGTGGGATTGACACTTTTCCAATTCCCTACCAATTTTTATTCCACTTCAAGTGGTCATTTTTTTGCCTTAATTTTTCATTCACCCTAAATTGGTTTTGAGAAAATAAATACATTACATTAATCTAATCATGGAGTAGAGCCAAAGAAATATTTTATCCAACTAACGGGACCCACTAAAATAATTGGTCAAAAGTTTGTCAAACCAACTAATCAAATACATTTTTTCCAACAATCCTCCATGTGAATGGAAATTAATGCAATAGACTATGTAGACCTTATAGAGAGATCAGACAGAATGTTATTGCATCCGGACAGGTACCTTATGGGTTTGAACCTTCCGTAGTAGAATACTATCGGATTTTCTTGGCTAATCAGTGAACATGATGTCTTGCACTGTCAGCCGTTGGTGTAAACCAAGACAATAGTATCAACACGATAACCTCCCTAACATTTTCGAGTTCTCACTGTTGTGTTCATTTTGGCCTTAAACAACTCTTGAATTTCATAATTACTTTAGAGAATTCAAGGATTTAAAACATTTTCATAGAAGCGGCCACACTTCATACTTATGTAGGTGATCTCCTATTAAAAGCGGATCCGTGAGATTTTCTCTAGATTTTACATAATCTATAGAAATAACACAATTTGAGATCAATTGTTTAATTGTAGTATGTCTTCGACGAATATGTCGAGACTTACCATTACACATACGACTTTGTACTCTACCGATAGCCGACTGACTATCACAATGTATACTAATTGCAGTCACATGTTTAGGCTAACATGGAATATCCTCTAAAAAATTTCGAAGTCATTCTACTTCCTTTCCACCTTTATCTAAAGCTGTAAACTCAGATTCCATCGTGGATTTCGAAGATACATCCGTAAAAACATAATTACTAAGATACGTCCGTAAAAACATACCCACCAGTGGATTTTGAGTCTTTTGTATCTGATATTCAATTAGCATCACTGTATCCTTCAAATACAGCTGGATATCTAGTA